GTGAATAGTATTTGGGCGTTGTCGCCCTTATGCCAGGCAGCACAAACCTTATACATAGACCGGCTCTAAATCGGAGCAACGAGATCAGTTAGCAATTACTTGGAACTATCCCGGCGGACTTGAGCATCCCGTTAGATTGGGTCGAGAATGGTCTTGATAAGAATCTATTAGACACTATATCGCAAAAGGCAAGGGGGTAGGGCTGAATTTCCGTTTTCGTCCTCGCGTTGCTGCTATGTCTCTCAAAATGCAACTGGCTCTTTTGGGAAATATTTGTCTGTGATATGACCATAGTTTGATGATAAATGTCCATAGCGCACGAATTGTATTTGGCTTTGCATTTGTGTACATCAATTGGTTTCGAGTATACATCAATTGGTTTCGAGAAAACAGGTTGTACAGATGATATATCCCACGAGATAGAAGATATAGGATAACTTTGTTCATATTTCTGAGACAATGCTCGAGAGACTGATCAAACGTAACACTGTAAGGTGTGTTGTATTTGTTGTACTACGATCTTCGATATTTTAACTATAATCTGTTAGAAAGAAATATCAGCAATTCAAGAGACAGTGCCCAAAATGTTTTAATCGATATTTTCGTATAGAATGCTGTTCAGGAGAACTAATTTCATTTTAAGACCAAGCATCGTTATACTAGAAGGTCGAATGATCGTATGTTCACCTGCTTTCTTTAGTTCTTGTAACTGATGACGTGTGAACACGATTTCAGAATTGTTGCGTACAGTAACTTTAAGGCGTGCTGTTTGGTAGTGTAAGTGGTTTAAGGTCAGATCTATCTACAAGATGGCTAACATCAACAGGGACATCTGCTTCACATATTGTTTCACATTTTACCTAATGATTCACATGTTTACATCACTAGTAAGTGAAATGTCAAACTGTGTCGTCATATGTACATTAGAAATCCATATAGTGAAGCAAATTCGGGTTGTCATTGTCGAAGACTACAGCTGTGCTAACCCAAAGACCATATTAATAAACTTGGATTTTTAGGACACAAAAATACAGATAAAGGACACTTCATAGATTGGTTGTTCCTCTGATCTATTCAACTCCAACCTTCTCTCCAGGGGGACATAACCAACGCTAACCTTCTTTACCTAGCTGTTGAAGTAAATCTTGAAACAAATTAATTTAGCATGGACCAAACAGTTAAAATGTAGTTATTTGAAGACGTCAAATAAAATCCACACAAAAGATATTGCCACGAAGAGTATGATTTAAATCTTCAGTAACACTTGACTTTACAGGCCAACTGACAAGTCAAACTAATCAGATAGTTTCATATTTACAGACTCTTGTTGAATATATTGACTTTTAATTAATGCATACTCGACTAGATGTAAAGTATTGAGGAATCAACCATTGTCATGTCAACATGAAACGCGGAATATAATTCGAGTGTTTGCGGTGACCGTTGTAATTGGCTAATACGGACATTATTTATTTTCAAATTCTCGGCAGATGGAATTATTCTGTCTAATATTTTGAAAAAAGAACTTCTAGGAGTTAACAGAAGCCAATGTCGACAAGGACATTGAATTCCCATACATCGCATTACTAAATAACAATTTTATTCTTCCATGTCATTTCAATAAGGCTGTCTCAACACTAAAATAGATTTAGGTTTTCTATCTCAGCACTAAAATAGATTTAGTTTTTTTACAGCAGATGTTTTTGTTTGTATCATCTGTATCAGTGGGGAGTCACGGTGGTTCGGGGTTCGAACTTGAACTTCTTAGCATTGTGTCTCCTTCTCAGTGGTGGAGGACCTTGTGTATATATTGAAGAACCCTTGACAGTTGGAGTTCGACAAAGAGTGGTCGAAACGCCACTGTAAAACCACAATCCACGCCTTGGCACACTTCGTGGCGTATGCCCGTTTTCATTACTCATGTAGCTGCAGAAAATCCCTAAATATACCATAATTGGTATCAAATGTTCTAACATTTGTGCCCAAATCCTGTCCCATTTTTTAAAAATAAACGGACAGATAACAAATACAGAATACTGTTTCTAATTGTTACCCCAAAACTATTCTGGTCTTGGAATATTAGTCTATGTTTGCCATCAAACAATCCCATTAAGCTAGTGATACCAATGTGGAAACTTGCATCCTTTGGACAAAGCTGTTGCCGTTGAGGAAAAGTAGAATTCACTCCTATAGTTTTGTGACGTGTATGCCAATCTTCAAATCCCGCTTGCAAACTTACCTTTTTGAAATGCATTGGCACAATTAACAAAAAACTTACAGCAAATGAACTCTTGTATACAATTTTGTATACGATATGAGCACGTTTTGTTGATTTTGCGCTATATAAATGGACATACTATTATGGTTTAATTCAGGTATTAGGGAACCAAATCATTATTTAGCACACACGAGATTTAATATTACATTCTTAAGATACCACGTATTTTTTGCACCCAGAAAGAAATTTGTATATCGGAACACATATTGCGTGTACCCACCCTATTAAACCTATAGTAAATCACACCCAACTTATGTCCAAAGCATGATTTAAATACGAGTCCTGGTTCCTTTGTCGTCATATCATCTCATTTATACCTATTAAACTTATATACTCAAGTCGTTTAAAACAACAGGCGCCTGTTATCCGTTTATTTATACATTTCAAATTATATGACACTATATCCCAAGTTTACATTTGCACCCGTTTTTACAATTCACCCATAGCAAAATAAACTTTTTTATTAAACGATCTATCACGAATGTAAAGAAATAAATGATGTAATAACTTCTTGTGCGGTAGTTGAAGAATTATAATTGAATCAAGCATCAATTTTTACCCTAAAGATATATTTTACAAACAGATTTGCTTACATCCAATCTATCCTCACGTACAATGCGCTCATTTTATTCCAACCGTCGTTTATCTGGTTTAATCTACATGAAGACGTCATGATTATCGCTCGAGGGTACAGTTTAGTATGTATATCCTGATTCTGTTAAATTACACGGGTGGTTTCTTTTATTAATATTCCAGCCGTAGATGCATTATAATTCTAGTAGTTGCAATTATATTTTATTTTACAAATTTTACGACTTTATGCAGATTTCAACTCATCGGCGCACTAACATACCCAGGATAATATAATTTGTTGCGCCATTTGCATTTTTTCACTAAACTAACAAATTTCTCACGACTTAATCCACGCTAATATGACTATACCGAGATTGGTTATTTAACATTTAATTAAGAAAACAAAATCAAAATACTAACGCTAGATAATTTCCCGGCTTGGATTCCATCGGATTTTAAACAAAAGCCCACCAATAAATTTTTCAAGACAACAAATCGATTGATGTAATTTCAATTACATGTCTTTATCATTGTTATAATTTTTGGACTGATATTAGATATTCAACTTTCACAATATTGTAGTTTCCAGGTTCCTTTAGCTCTAAAATGGCGCATCGGGGCTTTAAACGAGCACCCGTTAAGTTCATCAAAACCTTTTTAAAGCCGACCTTTTGAGGTTGCGCATTCGCTCCCTGTGTTAGCCGAGAAAGTTAATCGGGATTTTCCGACTTGGCTTCCTCTGGTCAGTGGTGCAGGACGGAGGGGGCCTGACAAGGACAGCTGCCCATTCGTTTGGGTGTGACGAAAACCCGAGGTCCCATGTACACATTCGCGTGCACGTAAAAGATCCCTCGACAGTTAGAATTCGATATAAGAGTAGGCCATAGTGCCGCTGTTCGGACAAAAATTCCTCACACTGCATGACGTATGCCTGTCTTCATTATCCCGGTTGGAGCAGAAAAGTAAGACATGAAACCCTATTTCACTTCTTTACATGAGACGGAAGAGAAAACATTTAACGAAGCGCCACTAGAAATAAACCCCAAGATAACCTGTATGACATTGTGTCATGTCATGTTAAAGATCTTATTAATAGACCTGATATTGATATAAAATTTGCATGAAAGCATGACCTTATCATGATTTTAAATGAAAGGCCCATAGATCCTCGTTGTCATGGTAATGTATTTTTAATACAGGGGTGTTTGTTTTAACTCTTTGTCTCAGTATATTTATATGCGGACCTATTGTAATATCTATAACTGTCTGTCTTTAAAAAACGGTTTTGGTAAATATTTTATACCTTATACAAACAATGTCTACAGTTTCTTTTGAAAACAAGTCTTCATATCCAAATAACCTAGGGATATTGTGGAATGCTAATAACAAAAAGTACATATATCCCGTGTTTCCTGTTTGTTCCCGGAGCCATAGTGACGAGCCGAGTATGGCGCTGGCTGACTGATCAGGAAGTTTCGGGTTTAATCCCCATGTGGGTCGAGAAAGTTCCTCGGCATAGTCCAGCCAGGGTTTCACCTTGTCTGTGCCCCCACCCCTACCAATACACCAAACCGTAAAGATCCCATGACAGTTTGAAATCTAGATAAGCGTCTGTAGTGCCACTGTTGGGGCAAATATTTCTCATAACATATATTGCATGGTGTATGGTCAACAGCATTAGCCCGGTTTGTGCATTTCAGTTCTTTCTATTCTATGCCTCAAAATTAAAAATGAAATGAAATGGGGTTTAACGTCCTACTGTTCTGCTCCTATACTGGGCTAATGAAGACGCCATACGCCCGGGCAACGGCACTATGGCCTAATCTTATATCAAATACCAACTGCCAAGGGATCTTTTACGTGCACGCAAATGTATACACGGGACCTCGGTGTTTCGTCCCATCCATAATCATTATGGACGAGCGTGGTAGCTATATTTTTAAGTGTTAGAGAAATCCTGGTTTCGCGAGCACAAATAGTATAACTAGTTAAGCACATGACAATAAAAATCAAGCACAACCGCTTTGCAGTCATAAGTAGATATCCAAAATGACGTATTTCTCAGTATCAACTACTTTTCACAGATTGATTATATTTAATACAAAATATATTGCAAATAGTTATAAACTTGTCTGGTTTATTTGTTCAGTTTCCTGACAAACGCATTCAATTTAATACGTGATGATTTTGTGAGAGCTTAAATTAAATTCGTTATTGGCAGAATGCAATAAGAACTGATAAATGATACACTTGCTCTTTAAAAACACTTAATTATTTCTACTTTATCTTTTCAGATCGTTTTGGAATGTCTCCCGTATATTCAATCGTGCCTCAATCCAATTATTTACGGGTTTATGTCGCGTAATTTCCGAAAAAGTATGCAGACGGCATGCAGAAGGTACGTCTGTAGAAAAACAAAACACCAGACCTGCTTAGGACGCCGCCTACTGGGATCCGATTACGAACTCGAGTCGCGTACGGCCAATGGAACAATTCAAACTAAAATATCATTAAGGACAAAGAGCAGTTCGTCAGAGGACTGACTAGAGAAACTGAAGAGAAGATTCAAAAGCTGTTTCTGTAGTTTTCTTTGATTACGTTACTGGGTGAATAGGTTTCGATGTTATTCGAATACCTATCCTCTCTGTGTGCGCTCGAAACGTAAAAAAGTACAGTTTTAATGGACAACAAAGACAAACCGTGCAACGGGGTTTAAAAAAAAACCTGTAAAAAATGTGTAGCGTCAAAAGTTGTTTCTGTAGTTTTCTTTGATTACGTTACTGGGTGAATAGGTTCGATGTTATTCGAATACATATATTCTATGTGTGTGCTGGAAAAGTAAAAAAGTACAGTTTTAATGAACAACAAAGACATACCGTGCAACGGGATTTTTTTTTTAAAAAAAAACCCTGTAAAATGTGTGTACCGTCGTATTGTTTACCCAGTCTCTATCATAAATTGACGTCTATTATAGCATGGGTTAGAGAAGATCATTATAGAAACAAAATGAATGTAAAATGTGTTAGATCAATAGCTGTAAATGACAAATGATATCTAATAATACTTTGAACAAGATGAATATTATCCTGGTAAAGAACATTGATTTTAGAGGGTAAAATTATCTTTTGTAAATGTTTTGAGGTTGTGTTGCTCAGTGATTGGATTATTTAAACGATAATGTTAATAGAATATTGTGATAAGTTATAAAAGTGCCTAAATCATCCGGTGTTTATAATTTAAATTATGATTTTCTTCCAGTATATAACAATCGGATATAGATAAGTACGTTTTGTCTTTGGTACAATTGGTTGTATTGAGTAATATATTAATCAGGTGTACATAGTTGACCTAGATACATGTAAATATAGATAATTTGATTTCCGTCATATGACGAATCTGTACATAATATATAAAATATCTCTTTACGAAATTCAGATTTGTTTCAGTTGCAATCTGCATTCCTCGAAATAATCCGGTGTGTTTACGGTGTATTAATGAACATCACAATGACGAAAGTTTAACCAAGCAAGTAGAGGTTTTTCTCATGACCATTAATGAACGAATACCCCACACGTGATAAGGCCTACTTGCGGGCAAATTATTAAGCTATCTACGAGGGTAAATAGTTCGATGAAATGTCGTTTATTTTCACTACTACGGTTGGATTTGCTTGGGCACGTCCTTATATGGCGTGAATTATTGCGCAATATAAATTTCATATTAAATACTTTAGATATTGATTTAATATTGAAGGGAAAAGAAGGCTCTACACATTTAATTGACCCGCGTATATTTGTAGGCTAATTAAGTTTTATAGTTCCGTAAAGATATGAATTTATGTATACCGATAGAGGTCACTAATAAGTATTTTCCGTATAGTGTATAGTATTCTTTATCTGGTGTTTGTTATGTTATACAACTGATTACGGGAAATGGTATTTCTCATATAATAGGAAATTCTTCAAATCACACGATGTTTTTTTTAAAAGAAAACCCCCCCCAGACAACCAGAAAATGCTTCAATAAAAAACTAAACTTAAGTCTTGCAAATGTCATGTGTCTAGATGTAATTGCTACCTTACTGGCGGTTGGCATATGCTTTCGTTGGGCGCTCATTAACCAATGTTGGGTCCTTAAAGTGCGTATTAAGAACTTGATGTGTGCATTTATAGTCTTCAGATTGCACAGAACGAAAATAATTGGAGATACATGTTGTAAATTACTCATTGTTCTATTATGTAGATTTACTTGTACATGTTTGTATATAATAATGTATAGTGTAAATGTTTCTATTAAATATATTTTAAATGTTACTTATTAGTGCTTAAATAAAGCTACATATTCGTTAGATAATAAGTCATTGGTGTTCTGCTACCAGCCCATGAGGTTCCTTCATGTTGGTGGATTGTTTTTCGATGGAATAACAGGTGGTGTGCCAAAATCGTTATATTTCCCATGAAGAAAGCTAGTTGAGTTTACAAACGTTGCTGTAGAGTAGTTGCTAGTATACGAAATACCCAGGTTCAACGAACACCGAGTAAAAGATCGTTCGGTAGTTGGAATTCGTGTGCTGTCCAGTTACAATGATCCTTAACATTACACACTTACGATTACAGGGAAAAATTTATATTGTGTTGGGTTGTGCAGAAAAGTAAGCCATTAAAATCCACTTCATTCCATTTTACGTTGTCTTGAGGGGATCACGGTATGGCTAAGGCGCTGACTCGCTAGCCTGGAGGTCGGGTGTTCGATCTCTGCATTGGCCGAGAAAGTTCATCCAGATTTTCCGGCGTGGTCCCTCCCCCCCTTGTCAGTGATGCAGGACGGGGGGGGGGGGCGGACAAGGAGAGCTGTCTAGTCGTTCGGATGGAACGGAAAACTGAGGTCCCATTAGGCCTGCACATAAAAGATCCCTTGACCGTTGGAGTTCGATATAAGAGTAGGCCATAGTGCTTCTGTCATTTCATTTCACGTTGTCTTGAACGATCTAATCCTGCTTTCGAGACGTTAAACGCCGTTGATCATTTCATTACAGTTAGTAGCCTTACCCCTACAGTGCATTTCCTAATGTTTCTACTATAAACTTTTGCATGGTATTATGTCGGTTCGTCGATAATTTCATTCAGTTAAATAACAGTTCATTTTTAGTAAGGTTTATCATACCGTTTACTTCAATGACATGTGCTGGTATTGTTTAACCAAGAATGTCATAACATCTGTACAACATTTCCGCTCACGTAATTGCCTGTTATGACATTAGGTCGAGGTTCTCGACTTCCGTACCGTGGCTGTTGAAACCGGTGTGGTTTTCAAGCATGGTATTTTGAGCAATATTGAACTGAATAGCCGTGTACTCTGGTGGGTCACTATTTATAAGTTAAATCAATAATCTAACTTCATATTGCCTACCTACTAATTATTAATCTATTGACCACCTGCTAGGTAAAAATTGTGCCAAGTAGCCGAAGGTTTAGTTCGTCCGAATTGGCGTTATGGAACGGTAATATAATACAATTTGATATAAGTCGAAGCTGTAAAAATATGTCTATTTGGCTATCAAATATTACAAGCTGTAATATGTTGTTCCAGTTGTTGGGTTTAATAACATGAATGCTTGTTAGGCTTGACTTTTACACTAACATGTTTTTTTAGAAAAGTTTACCCGATATTTGTTACATTTGTTCACGTGTTCGTATTTTTATAAAGCGGGTGTCGTTGACGATACGGATCATTCAAATATATACCAATGGTCTGAAATAATAATAATCAAAATAGTTCGTATACGAATGCACGAATGCATCTACATAGACGTGACAATGTTTCCAAAATAAAAGTTATGAGTCGGCCTAAACGAATACATGACGCAATGACCTGAAATTGTAATATTGTCATAATAATGCAGCCTAACTTGGTTTGGTGGTGTGGTAAATTTTCCAAAATATAATTAACTAACAAAAAAGATTTAAAAATGTCTATAGATAACCCGAATTATTATACATAAGTACAAATTTGCTGGGCAATGTGTTTGTTTTGATATGCCAATTGCCACAAACTTGATTAGGGTTCAACACGTTCTTGATGCAGAAAGAGAGAGAGAAATGGGGTTTAACGTCCACTCGACACAAACTAGGTCATTTCGGGACTAACGTATGGTTTAATTTTATTTCAATAATTCGCTTACGCGTAGGGGTCTTTAGCAGTGGGAGGTAACCGGAGGACCCGGAGAAACCCTACGAGGCTGGATAGGCGACCCTACTCCTTGTCACGTACAACCGGGGATTGGAAACCACGCCAGTTGACTCAATGACGCATGTGCTAACCATTCGGCCATCCAACCCCCTCTCTTGATGCAGAAATACACGTACACTTAACAATAAAACACTGCATGAGATGCAATGAAAATGCACCATTGATTTGACTGGAAGTGCTGACCTACCTATGCAAGAAAATTAACAACCCACGGACATTACAGGGTAAAAGCCAAACTCCAGTTGGGCCTGAACTTGTCCAACGTAAGGCCGTCTGACAGAGCCAGAAGCTAGTAGCATACGATCCTACATATGTTGCCGGATAATGTGTCTGACCAAACCTTGATTTATTTCTAGTGCGATCAGCCTTTCTCAGTATGGTACCCAACCCTTCAGGTGACGACTCTGGTATTCATTCATACCCGATTGGATTGATCTCGGTGTCAGGTGCCAACCTTCGCATATCATTGCATCTGCTACAGAATCTTTACTATCAAGGGTTCTTGTACGTGCAGGCGTCAACATGTATACGGAACGTCGGTTCTGGCCCGTAACGAAGGGGGAGGGGCGCAGAGGCGGGACGTGAAATAATTTTCAACCATAAAAATATAGATATACATTGTCCGTCAATTTTACTGCACCCCTGAGAACACCCCCCCTCCCCGTCCCCCTCGTTGCTCTGAGGTTGCTACGGCCCTGTGTCGATAAATTATGCCATCACAACGTCTAGACAAAGTTCTCTGTCAGCCCCCACCCCGTCCCGTACCACAGACAAGGGAAAGCCATGCTGAATGAACCCCGGACCTCCTATTTAGTGAGCCAGCGCCTTTTGTTTTGTTTTGTTTTCATTAAAATTATACAATATTCAATAACATTTGGTATGCACTTCAATTTTGTTTTGGATTGGAT